GGGCCTTGTCGGGTGTCTGAAGTAAATCCTTTGCGTCCGACTCGTTAAAGAAAAAATATTTATCCAGTACGCGGTGAGTAATCGCTCTCCTGATATCCAGAAGCTCTTTTCGGTCATAAGAGACGGTGGCAGAAACATTATGTACAAAATAAGTTACAAATAATGCAATAAAACACACACAATAGCACAATTGGTTAGGAGCCTGTAAAACGGCAGCCATCTCCTCCGGCGCCATTTGTAGATGGCTCATTTAGTTGGCTCATTCATCACAAAACCCACAGATATTGCCAACTACTTTAATGATTTCTTCATTGGCAAGATCAGCCAACTTAACGTGACATGCCAACAACAAATTGTGAACCTACACAACCATGCATAACTGACTAAATTATGAAAGACAAGCATTGTAATTTTGAATTCCGTAAAGTGACAAGCCACCTGGGTCTGACAACTTTAGAAGGAAAATTATTGAGGATGATAGTGGACTATAATATTATTGCCACTCCTATTTGCCATCTCTTTAATCTAAGCCTACAAGAAAGTGTGTGCCCTAAGGCCTGGAAGGAAGCAAAAGTCATTCCGCTACCCAATAATAGCAAAGCACCCTTTACTGGCTCAAACAGCCAACCAATCAGCCTGTTACCAACCCTTTGTAAACTTTTGGAGAAAAAAAATATTTGACCAGATACAATGCTATTTCACAGTAAACAAATTAACAACAACTTTCAGCACGCTTATAGGGAAGGGCACTGTCACGCCCTGACTTATGGGACTCTAGTATGTTGAGTCTGTATACTACACTGCTTGGTGTAACCCTTGATTATAAACTGTCATGGTCAAAACAAATTGATCCAACGGTAGCTAAGATGGGGAGAGGATCTATCCATAATAAAATGATGCTCTGCTTTCTTGACATCACTATTAACAAAACAAGTCCGACAGGCCCTAGTTTTGTCGCACCTGGATTACTGCCCAGTCATACGGTCAAGTGCCACAAAGAGTGACATAGGCTACTTACAGTTGGCCCAGAACAGAGCAGCACGGCTGGCCCTTAAATGTACACGGAGAGCTAACATCAATAACATGCATGTCAATCTCTCCTGGCTCAAAGTAGAGGAGAGATTGACTGCATCACTACTTGTCTTTGTGATAGGCATTGACATCTTGAAAGCACTGAGTTGTCTGTTTAAACAACTAGCACACAGCTCAGACATCCATGCATACCCAACAAGACAAGCCACCAGGGGTCTCTTCACAGTTCCCAAGTCCAGAACAGACTATGGGAAACACACAGTACTACATAGAGCCATGACTACATGGAACTCTATTCCACATCAAGTAACTCATGCAAGCAGTAAAATCAGATAATAAAATCAGATAAAACTACACCTTATGGAACAACGCGGACTGTGAAGTGACACACACACAGGCACACACATACCACACACATCCTAACACACGCACTCTACACACACGTACATTTTAATATTGTTATATTGCTGTATTATAGAACTTTGAAGATATGTTGTGGTAGTGTGTAATAATGTGTTGTGTGATGTACTGTTTTATTTTGTATGTAAATGTAAAAAAATAAAAAAATAAAAAATAATAATAATTGCCTTAATCTTGTTTGGACCCCAGGAAGAGTAGCTGCTGACTTTGCAGCAGCTAATGGGGATCCGTAATAAAATACAAATACCATGAGGCCATTGGTGATTCACAGAGTTACAGAGTTCAATGGCTGTGATGGGAGAAAACTGACGATTGATCAACAACATTGTAGTGACTCATTTTTTTGTTTTTTTTGGAGGGGTGGGGTGGGGTAGAAGGATTACTTTATCCTATCCCAGGTATTCCTTAAAGAGGTGGGGTTTCAAATGTCTCCGGAAGGTGGTGAGTGACTCCGCTGTCCTGGCGTCGTGAGGGAGCTTGTTCCACCATTGGGGTGCCAGAGCAGCGAACAGTTTTGACTGGGCTGAGCGGGAACTGTGCTTCCGCAGAGGTAGGGGAGCCAGCAGGCCAGAGGTGGATGAACGCAATGCCCTCGTTTGGGTGTAGGGACTGACTCCACAAATGACTTAAATGACAGAGTGAAAAAAAGAAAACAAATACACAAAACATGCATCTTGTATGCAATAAGTCACTAAAGTAACACTGCAAAAAAAACACAGCAAAGGAATACACTTTTTGGCCTAAATGCAAAGTCTTATGTTTGGGGCAAATCCAACACATCACTGAGTAACTGCCTCCTTATATTCAAGCATGGTGGTGGCTGCTCAGGGAGCTGAATGACTCAGGGAGCTGACTATATTTTATTTATTTTATTTATATACAGTGAGGGAAAAAAGTATTTGATCCCCTGCTGATTTTGTACATTTGCCCACTGACAAAGAAATGATCAGTCTATAATTTTAATGGTAGGTTTATTTGAACAGTGAGAGACAAAATCCAGAAAAACGTATGTCAAAAATGTTATCAATTGATTTGCATTTGACTGAGGGAAATAAGTATTTGACCCCCTCTCAATCAGAAAGATTTCTGGCTCCCAGGTGTTGTTTATACTCCCTTTAAGAGTGTGCTCCTAATCTCAGCATGTTACCTGTATAAAAGACACCTGTCCACAGAAGCAATCAATCAATCAGATTCCAACCTCTCCACCATGGCCAAGGCCAAAGAGCTCTCCAAGGATGTCAGGGACAAGATTGTAGACCTACACAAGGCTGGAATTGTCTACAAGACCATCGCCAAGCAGCTTGGTGAGAAGGTGACAACAGTTGGTGCGATTATTCGCAAATGGAAGAAACACAAAAGAACTTTCAATCTCCCTCTGCCTGGGGCTCCATGCAAGATCTCACCTCGTGGAGTTGCAATGATCATGAGAACGGTGAGGAATCAGCCCAGAACTACACGGGAGGATCTTGTCAATGATCTGAAGGCAGCTGGGACCATATTCACTAAGAAAACAATTGGTAACACACTATGCCCTGAAGGACTGAAATCCTGCAGCGCCTGCAAGGTCCCCCTGCTCAAGAAAGCACATATACAGGGCTGTCTGAAGTTTGCCAATGAACATCTGAATGATTCAGAGGAGAACTGGGTGAAAGTGTTGTGGTCAGATGATGGTCAGATGAGACCAAAATCAAGCTCTTTGGCATCAACTCAACTCGCCGTGTTTGGAGGAGGAGGAATGCTGCCTATGACCACAAGAACACCATCCCCACCGTCAAACATGGAAGTGGAAACATTATGCTTTGGGGGTGTTTTTCTGCTAAGGGGACAGGACAACTTCACCGCATCAAAGGGACGATGGACGGGGCCATGTACTGTCAAATCTTGGGTGAGAACCTCCTTCCCGCAGCCAGGGAATTGAAAATGGGTTGTGGATGGGTATTCCAGCATGACAATGACCCAAAACACACGGCCAAGGCAACAAAAATAGTGGCTCAAGAAGAAGCACATTAAGGTCCTGGAGTGGCCTAGCCAGTCTCCAGACCTTAATCCCATAGAAAATATGTGGAGGGACCTGGTGGCCAACTACAAGAAACGTCTGAACTCTGTGATTGCCAACAAGGGTTTTGCCACCAAGTACTAAGTCATGTTTTGCAGAGGGGTCAAATACTTATTTCCCTCATTAAAATGCAAATCAATTTATAACATTTTGACATGCGTTTTTCTGGATTTTTTTGTTGTTATTCTGTCTCTCACTGTTCAAATAAATCTACCATTAAAATTATAGACTGATCATGTCTTTGTCAGTGGGCAAACGTACAAAATCAGCAGGGGATCAAATACTTTTTTCCCTCACTGTACAATTATTACATGTTTTTGTTGACAAAAAAATACAATGAAATCCATTTTAATCAGACTTTGTAACACAATAAAATGTGAATAAATCCAATGGGTGTGAATACTTTTGCAAGGCACTGTATACAAGCTCAATGTCTTCAGGGGTGTGATCATGGTATTGAAATATGATATAGAATGGGAACCTGTGTACCAGGCTTTCCTTCTGGTCCCTCTGTCCCAGGTGGGCCTGGCAAACCCTGTTGGAGACAAGTGCAAACACACACACACACACACACACACACACACACACACACACACACACACTCATAATGAGTGTACTGTGATTACGTAATATTCAGCAGCCTACAGTATTCACCAACGTAATTCACACTAGCTTTTAGTCAGCTCTATTAGATAAGCCCATACAGCCTTGGATATTCTTTATCACCAAGCAGAAGTGTTAGTATCTGGTGTTTTACCACTAAGCTGCACACACACACACACACACACACACATACACACACACACACAGCACAGATCCGCTGTTCTGCCAATCACAGATGTTGCCCATTGAGGTGTATACTGTATATCTGATTTGTCAAGAATATTGATGTGTTTTGCAATGCAAATTGATCAAGTAGATTGCTCCACTAGTGTTTGTCTGTGCATGGTCTGTGCTTACCGGTGAACCAGGCTGGCCATCATGCCCTCTCTGTCCGATGCGACCCTGGGTAGAAGAAGGCAGTGCCAATCAGGATACCATTCAAATATGAAGAGCAGGACTAAAATCACGCTTTACTAAATACTAAGGTTGAAAAATTCATGTACATTTCCAAATCCCAGAAATTCTGGATAACATGGACATTTTGTGAAAGTCACCAGAATTTTCCAACCCTCATAAACACATTCAATAGGAGAGTGTCCTACCTTGGTCCCTCTGTGTCCAGGCTGGCCGTTTCGGCCATCTGGTCCCCTATTCCCCTTCAGAGAAACACAGAGATTTTTTATGAGACTACGGCTATTTCCCAAATGGCACCCCATAGGACTCAAAGTAGTGCACTATATAGTGTATAGGGTGCCATTTGGGACACGCTATTTTAGGACATGAAATCCACAGTTTTATCATCATTTTGACCAATCTTAACAGGCAGACTGAATTATATTCTAAATGTTTCATTCACTATAATGCATTCATCTTTTAAGTCTTCTCTGACCTTCAGCCCATCTCTGCCCAGTTTTCCCTGAGGGCCAGTTTCTCCATTCTCCCCCTTAAAGAGGAGACACAAAATCCATCAGTCTTCCAATGGTAAAGTAGCAGTCTATAACTGTAGATACAGTGATAAGGCAGAGAGTCGGCCTACCCCAATGCCTTTAGTGCCAGGTTGACCTTTGAGCCCTGTAAAGCCAGGGAAGCCACTAGGACCCCTCTCTCCCTGAGGCCCTTGGATGCCCGAAGCACCCTGAACACCCTGAGATAGAATGAGAGAGAGAGAGAGAGAGAGAGAGATAGAGAGAGAGAGAGAGAGAGAGAGAGAGAGAGAGAGAGAGAGAGAAGACAAACGTGTAACTCATAATTCAGATGTCAAAAAGTATGAATGTGTACAGGTCTCCAGAGGCTGGGTTCTTACTCTCTCCCCCTTCAGTCCAGGGTCCCCCTTGTCCCCGTCTGGTCCTCTCTTGCCCTGTGGAGGTCAGAGGTCAGAGAGGAGTCAGAGGACTGCAGGTACAGTAAGTAGTTGAAAAGCATGCAACCTGATTCTTCAAAGTGTTTTGAATCAATCCAAGAACAATACAACAATGAATTATATAACAAATAATTTCAGTAAAATGCAGTAGCAGTACTAATACTTACAGTAATACCAGGGAAACCCATTGGACCTTGTGTTCCCAGTGGCCCCTTCAATCAAATAATGACAGAGAAGGGATTGAAGTGTTAGTTCCTTTTAGTTAGATTTTCTTGCTTTGAGTAGATAGACATGGAGGCCTATCACATCCTGGCCCCAGAAACATTTAACAAAATCTTCCCTTTCATGATGATCTCATTTGTCTAATCTATAGCCACACTTCAGCCATACTGACTGACAATGTAAACTGACTAGACTGAACACTGTCTAACCACGTTTTTAATGACACGCCATCTGATAACAGCATGATATATGAGACATACGTGTAGAGATAGTGACAGCCGGAGGAGCTGTAAAACTGAGCATCGCCTAGAGGATGTCTGTATAACAGCCAGAGCTAAACTCACATGCAAACCACCTGGGGATGGGTTTCTACAGTATGGCAAACCACCTGGGGATGGGTTTCTACAGTATGGCAAACCACCTGGGGATGGGTTTCTACAGTATGGCAATCTAGCAGTTTACAACTTCTCCAAATGGGTCATTTAATATCACACGAAGATACAGTGTGGTCATCATTCAGACCAGTGTTAATTTTGGAACTCTTTTTTTATTTATTTAGTCTAGTCTTAGTCATTTTGACAAAAAAATCTTTATGTTTTAGTCACATTTTTGTCATTTGGATAATGATTTAGTCTAGTTATTGTCAAAATGACGAAAAAAGTGGGGCATTTCTGTCAACTAAATGCCCTTTCATTTGAGTCACATCACATTTGTATTGCCTCATTAACCTATAGTAAACACAAATCCCCTGACTTCCATGTGCACAAACATGCATAGCCTTGTCCTACCAACATAGTTTTCTGCATAACATCCTATTCTCTTCCCAACAGCAGAAATACTATATGACAAACATATACACTGAGTGTACAAAGCATTAAGAACACCTGCTCTTTCCATGACACAGACTGACCAGGTGAATCAAGGTGAAAGCTATGATCCCTTATTGATGTCACTTGTTAAATTCACTATAATCAGTGTAGATGAAGGGGAAGAGACAGGTTAAATAATTATTTTTAAGCCTTGAGACAACTGAAACATGTGTGTCATTCAGAGGGTGAATGGGCAAGACAAAAGATTGAAGTGTCTTTGAATGGGGTATGGTAGTAGGTGCCAGGCGCACCGGTTTGTGTCAAGAATTGCAACGCTGCTGGGTTTTTCACGCTCAACAGTTTCCCACCACCCAAAGGACCTCCAGTCAACTTGACACAACTGTGGGAAGCATTGGAGTCAACATGGGCCAGCATCCCTGTGGAACGCTTTCGACACCAAGTCGAGTCCATGCCCCGACAAATTGAGGCTATTCTGGGGGGGGGGGGGGGGGGGGGGGGGTTATTTACCCAGTCAGATATAGTGTAGTGGCAAGAGGAATTTAGTCAACAAATTGTTTGCTATCCCTTTTCCTTCTTTTCCTTTCTTTCTGTGCCACCAAATGTTTGCATATAGGCTACTGGTAATGTTGCGAGGGCCACGTTCAGCTGCAAAACGTTCTGGAAACGTTGCAGATAGAAAAGCCATGAATAGAGTAGGCTGTCTTTGAATTTGTAGTCTCGCTCAACCCTTCCACTTTCCCCACTGCATTTACTCCTGGTTCTGTAGCCAATGTAGCCAAGTCTCCATCTTTTCCTCAGAGAAAATGGCTTGATTCTAACCCTAACCTTTCAAAAGATATGGCCCATAATACCGGCGCTATATACACTGCTCAAAAGAATTAAGGGAACACTTAAACAACACAATGTAACTCCAAGTCAATCACACTTCTGTGAAATCAAACTGTCCACTTAGGAAGCAACACTGATTGACAATAAATGTCACATGCTGTTGTGCAAATGGAATAGACAACAGGTGGAAATTATAGGCAATTAGCAAGACACCCCCAATAAAGAAGTGGTTCTGCATACCACTGACCACTTCTCAGTTCCTATGCTTCCTGGCTGATGTTTTGGTCACTTTTGAATGCTGGCGGTGCTTTCACTCTAGTGGTAGCATGAGACGGAGTCTACAACCCACACAAGTGGCTCAGGTAGTGCAGCTCATCCAGGATAGCACATCAATGCGAGCTGTGGCAAGAAGGTTTGCTGTGTCTGTCAGCGTAGTGTCCAGAGCATGGAGGCGCTACCAGGAGACAGGCCAGTACATCAGGAGACGTGGAGGAGGCCGTAGGAGGGCAACAACCCAGCAGCAGGACCCCTACCTCCGCCTTTGTGCAAGGAGGAGCAGGAGGAGCACTGCCAGAGCCCTGCAAAATGACCTCCAGCAGGCCACAAATGTGCATGTGTCTGCTCAAACGGTCAGAAACAGACTCCATGAGGGTGGTATGAGGGCCCGACGTCCACGGGTGGGGGTTGTGCTTACAGCCCAACACCGTGCAGGACGTTTGGCATTTGCCAGAGAACACCAAGATTGGCAAATTCGCCACTGGCGCCCTGTGCTCTTCACAGATGAAAGCAGGTTCACACTGAGCACATGTGACAGACGTGACAGAGTCTGGAGACGCCGTGGAGAACGTTCTGCTGCCTGCAACATCCTCCAGCATGACCGGTTTGGCGGTGGGTCAGTCATGGTGTGGGGTGGCATTTCTTTGGGGGGCCGCACAGCCCTCCATGTGCTCGCCAGAGGTAGCCTGACTGCCATTAGGTACCGAGATGAGATCCTCAGACCCCTTGTCAGACCATATGCTGGTGCGGTTGGCCTTGGGTTCCTCCTAATGCAAGACAATGCTAGACCTCATGTGGCTGGAGTGTGTCAGCAGTTCCTGCAAGAGGAAGGCATTGATGCTATGGACTGGCCCGCCCATTCCCCAGACCTGAATCCAATTAAGCACATCTGGGACATCATGTCTCGCTCCATCCACCAACGTCACGTTGCACCACAGACTGTCCAGGAGTTGGCGGATGCTTTAGTCCAGGTCTGGGAGGAGATCCCTCAGGAGACCATCCGCCACCTCATCAGGAGCATGCCCAGGCGTTGTAGGGAGGTCGTGGAGGCCACACACACTACTGAGCCTCATTTTGACTTGTTTTAAGGACATTACATAAAAGTTGGATCAGCCCTGTAATGTGGTTTTCCACTTTAATTTTGAGGGTGACTCCAAATCCAGACCTCCATGGGTTGATAAATTTGATTTCCATTGATAATTTTTGTGTGATTTTGTTGTCAGCACATTCAACTATGTAAAGAAAAAAGTATTTAATAACGATAATTTCATTCATTCGATCTAGATGTTTGTTTAGTGTTCCCTTTGTTTTTGACAGTTTTTTTCATTTGTTGTGCATTGGCAGTGTCACTGTGAAGGAGGAACCAAAGCGCAGCGTGTTGGTGAAATAGTATATTTATTAAGTCACACAGAAACAACAACAATACTCTGTGTTCCCAAACCAAAGAAAACAATTGATCCATTGCACAAACATGCATAGCCTTGTCCTACCAACATGTTTTCTGCATAACATCCTATTTCTCTTCCCAACAGCAGAAAACTATATGACAAACATATACATGAGTGTACAAAAGCATTAAGAACACCTGCTCTTTCCATGACACAGACTAAACCAGGTGAATCAAGGTAAAAGCTATGACCCCTTTTTGATGTCATTTGTTAAAATTCACTATAATCAGTGTAGATAAAGGGGAAGAGACAGGTTAAATAATTATTTTTAACCCTTTGAACAACTGAAACATGTTTTGTCATTCAGAGGGTGATGGGCAAGACAAAGATTGAAGTGTCTTTGAATGGGGTATGGTAGTAGGTGCCAGGCGCACCGGTTTGTGTCAAGAATTGCAACGCGGCTGGGTTTTTCACGCTCAACAGTTTCCCACCCCCCAAAGGGACCTCCAGTCAACTTGACACAACTGTGGGAACATTGGAGTCAACATGGCCAGCACCCCTGTGGAACGCTTTCGACACCAAGTCGAGTCCATGCCCCGACGAATTGAGGCTGTTCTGGGGGGGGAAGGGGGGGGGGTTATTTACCCAGTCAGATATAGTGTAGTGGCAAGAGGAATTTAGTCAACAAATTGTTTGCTATCCCTTTTCCTTCTTTTCCTTTCTTTCTGTGCCACCAAATGTTTGCATATAGGCTACTGGTAATGTTGCCAGGGCCACGTTCAGCTGCAAAACGTTCTCGAACGTTGCAGATAGAAAAGCCATGAATAGAGTAGGCTGTCTTTGAATTTGTAGTCTCGCTCAACCCTCCCACTTTCCCCACTGCATTTACTCCTGGTTCTGTAGCCAATGTAGCCAAGTCTCCATCTTTTCCTCAGAGAAAATGGCTTGATTCTAACCCTAACCTTTCAAAAGATATGGCCCATAATACCGGCGCTATATACACTGCTCAAAATAATTAAGGGAACACTTAAACAACACAATGTAACTCCAAGTCAATCACACTTCTGTGAAATCAAACTGTCCACTTAGGAAGCAACACTGATTGACAATAAATTTCACATGCTGTTCTGCAAATGGAATAGACAACAGGTGGAAATTATAGGCAATTAGCAAGACACCCCCAATAAAGGAGTGGTTCTGCAGGTGGTGACCACAGACCACTTCTCAGTTCCTATGCTTTCTGGCTGATGTTTTGGTCACTTTTGAATGCTGGCGGTGCTTTCACTCTAGTGGTAGCATGAGACGGAGTCTACAACCCACACAAGTGGCTCAGGTAGTGCAGCTCATCCAGGATAGCACATCAATGCGAGCTGTGGCAAGAAGGTTTGCTGTGTCTGTCAGCGTAGTGTCCAGAGCATGGAGGCGCTACCAGGAGACAGGCCAGTACATCAGGAGACGTGGAGGAGGCCGTAGGAGGGCAACAACCCAGCAGCAGGACCCCTACCTCCGCCTTTGTGCAAGGAGGAGCAGGAGGAGCACTGCCAGAGCCCTGCAAAATGACCTCCAGCAGGCCACAAATGTGCATGTGTCTGCTCAAACGGTCAGAAACAGACTCCATGAGGGTGGTATGAGGGCCCGACGTCCACGGGTGGTAGGTACCGAGATGAGATCCTCAGACCCCTTGTCAGACCATATGCTGGTGCGGTTGGCCTTGGGTTCCTCCTAATGCAAGACAATGCTAGACCTCATGTGGCTGGAGTGTGTCAGCAGTTCCTGCAAGAGGAAGGCATTGATGCTATGGACTGGCCCGCCCGTTCCCCAGACCTGAATCCAATTGAGCACATCTGGGACATCATGTCTCGCTCCATCCACCAACGTCACGTTGCACCACAGACTGTCCAGGAGTTGGCGGATGCTTTAGTCCAGGTCTGGGAGGAGATCCCTCAGGAGACCATCCGCCACCTCATCAGGAGCATGCCCAGGCGTTGTAGGGAGGTCATACAGGCACGTGGAGGCCACACACACTACTGAGCCTCATTTTGACTTGTTTTAAGGACATTACATCAAAGTTGGATCAGCCTGTAGTGTGGTTTTCCACTTTAATTTTGAGGGTGACTCCAAATCCAGACCTCCATGGGTTGATAAATTTGATTTCCATTGATAATTTTTGTGTGATTTTGTTGTCAGCACATTCAACTATGTAAAGAAAAAAGTATTTAATAAGATAATTTCATTCATTCAGATCTAGGATGTGTTGTTTAAGTGTTCCCTTTGTTTTTTTGAGCAGTGTATTTTTCTTTCTGTTGTGCATTGGCGGGCTGCATTTTCATAAAGCATATCGTGGGCCGTTCTTAAACTAGGCAACTTGCGGACTGGACTGTTAACCATTTGTTTAGGCTACACCTTATTCAGTCACGTTACCTCATTAGCTAGCTATATCTAACAACCTGGGACGTGGTCAGTAGGACACAAAGTTTTGGAACGTATACGTTATTCCTTATTCAACATCACAGAGAGGCATGTTTGTTCTACATAGCATATTTCTATAGCTAGCAACTGTCTTATCCCATCAGAACACAAAATACAACTTGTTTTACTATGTTTGTAAACAATGTACAGTATGTACACAAACACTCTATAGACTCAAAACATGGTTAAAACTATAATTTTGATATAATGGATGGTCAGTACTTGCATCCATAGCTCTGTCTATAAATTTGAAAGTGGTTACAGTTCTCCAGGCCCTTGCCTCAGCTATTTACCAAAACACTGGTGCGGTAACCACTTTGTTATTGTTTCAATTAAGGATTCTAGCTTTAAGTGGCACATGGGGGTACTGTGACGTTGCTATGTGTGTGTATCTCTGGAAGGAAGGGTGCGATTTAGGTGGCCAGTCCACTGGGTACTATGCTACTCACCATGGGCCCCTCGAACCCTGGCTCACCCCGGATACCCATTATCCCCATATGGCCCCTGAGGAAGACAGAGAAAGGAAGGAAAAGAGGGGGTTGGAAAGAGACATTTATAGTAGTTTGTTTACGAGAGCAGAAGGAACTTTATGAGAGAAGAGAGGAGAGACTTACAGGATCACCTTTCGGACCAGGGGCACCACTCATCCCAGGCTGTCCCTGTGAAAATATGAAAACAGTACAGATTACCTTTAACCCCAGATATTATATGTTATTATGGTGAGAAATCCCTCTGATACATTAGTCAATCATCTGGTCCCAAGTCTCTGTTAGGGAAAATTACTGTGCAGCTGAGTGAGACTGACCTGGATTCCCCTGAGTCCTGGAGGCCCACTCTCGCCATCTAAACCCTGGGGTCCCTGGTGAAATATACAGAAATCAGGTCATTTAAAAACATGTGTATAGTATGTGTGTAATATTTCCCTTAAAGTCTTACGAGCATAGAGTTCTGTTAAATGTGACCCAACTTTAGGCAAGAAAACACAACAAGCAAATGTCTCCTCTTACCTGGGGGCCTCTGGGGCCAATGACTCCAACAGGGCCGAACTCTCCCTAGAAGGTAAATGCAGGCTACGTTTGGTGAAGGCTGACATACTCAGAAAGAGCTACCAGTAAAGTTGGTGTTAAGTAAAAAAAATTATGGAAAGACCCTCATCTCCTGGGTCAAAATATCACCTCACCTGTGAGCCTTTAGCTCCCTGATCGCCGACAGGGCCTGTGAAACCAGTGGCTCCCTACGCAAAACAGAAATATACACACTGAGTGATATGATATGGGATGAGTGACATAGCATTAGGAATTGGGTGCTACCTAGAAGGTGCTACCTAGAACCTAAAATGGTTATTTGGCTGTCCCCACAGGAGAACCCTTTGAAGAACCCTTTTTGGTTCCAGGTAGAACCCTTTTGGTTCCAGACATAACCCTTTTGGGTTCCATGTAAAACCCTTTCCACAGAGAGTTCTCCTATGGGGACAGCCAAAGAAGTGTAGGGAAAGCACAGACTTGTTTGCTGTCTACTCACCACTGACCCAGGAGGCCCTGGAGGCCCATCAAACCCAGCCTCCCCCTGGAGAGTCACAAACACATGGACACAAGTCAATGACACATTCAATTACTGATGAATAACACCCTAAAGTATTCAGAAATGTTGGAATCTGTAAATCTGTAACAAGGTGTAGTATTGTTACTATGGGTCACTCACGTCAGGTCCGGGGTTTCCCTCGGGACCTGTGGCCCCTCTGACTCCCTGAGGCCCCTGAAGAAAAGACAGACATAGGGTTAAACGTTTTATAAAGTATGTCAAAAAAGGCAGCTTGAAAGAAAAGAGACAGTGACTGCGTCTCAAATGGCACCCTATTCCGTATTTAGTGCACTACTTTTGACCAGGACCCATAGGGTTCTGGTAAAAAATAGTGCACTATAAAGGGAATACAGGTGCTATTTGGAACACATACAGTGAGACAAACACACTTACTGGTGGACCAACATAACCGGGACGGCCTGGTAAACCAATAGAGCCCTACAGGACACACAAATATCACATTTTAAGCTCTCAATAGAGAGGGCTATCCACACAAAAGTCATCAGCAAAATGCATACATGAGCATTACAGGGATATGAGTAAAGACAATCAAAAAACATTTGATGTAAACTGACATGAACTGTACAAGCCAGAGCATTCAGCTCTCATAGTACTTACTCTTTCCACTAAGGGGCAGCATATTCCAACTAATAATCTTGACCAGTGAAGACTGGGGACTAAGGATAACTTTAATTCAGTGTGGTACTGTAGTAATTACGGAACAATAGTCAACAATCATACTTGAGTCTTACCTTCAAGCCCGGTTCTCCTATATGTCCTCTTGGACCCTTGGCTCCAATAAGGCCCTATAAGGCATTATAACAGATGTGTTAAAGCATTATACATATGTACTTCATAGAAAGTGTAAAGGACTTATGCTCTTCATTGGTACTCTTCATTAGACCAGTGTTTCGCTGTCCAACCACCTTACCTCGTCCCCTTCTTCTCCTTTGGAACCGCTTTCTCCCCTATACCCGAAGTGTCCCTAAGCAAAATGAGACAGCAATCATTGATATAATCAGAGATATAACACACTATTCCCAATATGGTGCACTTCTTAGGGAATACTTACTAGTCAAAAAGTAGTGCACTAAATATAGAGAATGGCTAGAATGGTTGTTTCTGAGAACAGATGGGTTCATAATCAGAGGGTTATCATGTAATCACTAAGTGGTGCCCTTTGACCTCACCTGTCGCCCAGGGTCACCCGGCATCCCAGGCTGACCGTCCTGCCCATTCTCTCCATATTTCCCATGGAGCCCTGCTCTGCCCGCCACGCCCTTTGGGCCCGGCTCACCCTGCAATATAACAGACACCATCACCCAATCAGAGGCTGTGTGGATCTGTGACAGAGATACCATCACCCAATCAGAGGCTGTGGATCCGTGACAGAGACACCATCACCTAATCAGAGGCTGTGGATCCATGACAGAGACACCATCACCCAATCAGAGGCTGTGGATCCATGACAGAGACACCATCACCTAATCAGAGGCTGTGGATCCGTGACAGAGACACCATCACCCAATCAGAGGCTGTGGATCCATGACAGAGACACCATCACCCAATCAGAGGCTGTGGATCCATGACAGAGACACCATCACCTGATCTGAGGCTGTGTAAACCTGTGACACAGTGAGGACACACCCTAACACACCTGGGCTACATCCCAAATGGCACCCTATTCCTATATAGGGCTCTGGTCAAAAGTGGTGCAGTATATAGGAATAGGGTGCTATTTAAGGCACCATGGCACCATTCCTGCCCAGCAGGGTGCACTGAGAGCTTATTAAGAGGATGAGAAGTGGAGACACTATTAGTATATCTTTAAGTTAGACTTTAGACCTCCTTGTCATCAATAACCTGCACTGCAGACAGGTGGAGAACATGTACAAATCAGATAGCTTAAACACCTGTTAGCTCTTGGCAGTGTGGATATTGTTTGTGTGTGTGTGCGTGCGCGCGTGTGTGTGGACAGTGATTCATATTGTACATGCAGAAGCGTGCCTGACTGATAAAAGAGTTCTCAGGTGTACATATACATATTGTACACACACTGTATACACACACACACACTGCATACACACACACGCACGCACACACACACATACACACACATACACACAATACAGCCATTCTCCACGCCACGTGTGTGCCACACAGCCCAGACACCGTAGATTTCGTATTGGGGAAGGAGAGGAAGTGTTTACAACTGTACCCAAAACCTCAGCAGTCTCTGATGTGGGCCGTCTTGTTAGGCCCGTAGCGTCAGTCCTCAGTTCAGCTGAGGTCTCTGACTGGCTAAGACACAACATAGCAAAGCCTCTCTCTGTTTTTGTCTGTGTTTTTCTGTTACCACAAAGGCACAGCTTAGAAATCAGGCTCCAAGCCTTGTGCTAATGTGTTTGTGTGGTTGTGAGGGACGTGGGAAGAGCCTTATATGCTAATACCTTTAGCTTTACAAAGTGCTAAAAGCTAAACAGATTATCCCACGCTTTCTTTAAGTACATGTTTGGTACAGTCAAATCCTCATAGCAGTATGACATCTATTAATTCAGCTGAAAAACAACTTGAGCAGTTTTTGATTTGACCAATTTCCCAGGGACAACAATGGGGTCATTGGGAGTTATTGTATAACAGTAATGTGCCTAAACCCAGATTGGATGTCATCAGTACTCAAAAATATGTTATTTTGATTTGATAACAGAAAGGCCAGCACACTCTATGATCCTAATTATTACCTTTAATGACAACGTTTCCATCCGGAGGATTTTCATCAGGTCATCTTGGACTGAAATATAGTGTGCAGGCCTTTCTGTTCTTTTTATGTATACTTTATTAGCCCAGCCCCTTTGCTTTTAAGGATGTGCGTATGACCACAAACATTTATTCTGTCATCAGTCCTTACCATTTCTCCAATTATTCCCGGAGGCCCTTGTTGGCCAGGATCACCTGTTGGCCCCTGGGTGGGATAAGAATGAGAGAAAGAAAGAGAGGGGGGGGGGGGAGCAAGACAGACAGACAGAGACAGACAGACAGGGACAGACAAATGTATAACTCACAATACAGAGGTTAAAACAGTATGAATCAACACTTTTGCTGAGTGTTGATTCATTGATCAGGCGTTCATCTCAACTGCACCATGACATTTAAACCAGTATTCATGGTATACTACCCAGATGATGAGACTCTCTACCAAACCTAAAGTAGGACCAAATATGCAGGGAAGGGGTTTCACTCACCTGTGGGCCCGTCTTCCCCATCTCCCCAGCTGGTCCTGGGGGTCCCTGCTCCCTCTGCAGGCACACAGAGAAGAAAACGGTGTCAGGAAGAACCAAAACACACCCTGCTGTATTTTATAACCCATATACTCTATAAGACCCTTAATGTGTCCCAAATGGCACCCTATTCCCGTTATAGTGCACATTTTTTTTACCAAGAACCATAGGACTCTGGTCAAAAGTAGTGCACTATATAGGGAATAGGGTGCCATTTGGGATGCATTCCCAGTCTAGTCCTAGTCATGGGAGAGGTGTCCATTACTTACAGGCCAGCCAGCGTAGAGCAACTGGTAGAAAGAGGTTTGCTGGAAGAAACATGGAGACATGGCAAATTATTTAAAGTTTCACGAGTCAGGAATCAAAACAATAAGAAAATGTAATGTATATAGATTCCATCAATGTGTTAACCATAATTCATAGCGTTGCTATCTTAAAGGGACATTTCACTCATAAATAAAAGTTTGTCAGGTGTTTTCAGGCCTGGTTTTCTTGGTTTTATGCGGTGCCTTATCCTCTCAAGAAAAGGCACAGGGGCTAAAATCAAAGCTATTTTTATCATCATCCTCACTTGAAATAGATAGCAGTATCTGATCTATCTGTCTGGCCACATGGCTCAGTTCAAAGCCCAGAGTAACAAATTGCCTTTTATTCTTACACAGCATCTTTATTCAATAATGTCCATGCAGTTTTCTGTCACGCTGATAGTCATGCTGTACTATACAGCCTGCAGCTGTGGTCAGTCTCAGACTCAGGCAGGGGGATAAAACTGATGAGAGATAGATGGAGCACCGGCTCACACACACCAACAGTGTGGGGTCAAAGAATGTACAGCTAGCCTGGGAAAACCTCTCGGCAATACCTGGGAATTTGGGGAAAGTTACCAGAATTATGCAACCCTGCACAGGCAGTCTACAGGGTCATAGCCTAATACTGTATGTCCTTGTGGAGTTACGGTAAGGCGTCCGCATGATACGCATCCGAAACAGTTTGTGTATATATTTGTATGATTTATATTTTAACTTCAGAAATACTGCACCAAACATATTAGTTAGATATAAAGGTTTGCGACTAAGACCTCCTCAGCAAAAACGTCAAAATGTATTACAGATTTCTTGAGTTGTATCTTTTTAAAAAAAGCGACAAACAGTACTACTGCCGTTTTTTTCTAGTTTTTCAAGCGACGGTCTTATAAGGGAGTATGCAAGGCACAGACGTTCACTTCACCTAGCCGAGTTCTGCTAGGACCAAACTGAACCTAGTATGCAGACGCCTTTAGGTGAGAGTTGGGGCAAGGTTGGGTTATGGCTGGGGGTGGGATTTGGGGTTGGAGTTGAGGTGTGACAGGTTTGAGTTGGGTTTGGAGTGAGGCTGATTATAAGTGAGGTGGGCTGAGGTTTTTATATTTAATAGGGATCCCCATTAGCTGTTGCCAAGGCAGCAGCTACTCTTCCTGGGGTCCAAACACATTAAGGCACTTACATCACACAAAACCCCCAAAATAAAACAGTACATTGTATAACATTATTACACCACTACATACAGTATGTAAAATACAACATTTATAATACCACCATACAACAATATTACAATGTATGTGTGTGTGAGTGCCTGTGTGTGTGTCTCTTCACAGTTCGCATTGTTCCATAAGGTGCAATTTTATCTGTTTTTTTTAAATCTAATTTTACTGCTTGCATGAGTTATTTGATATGGAATAGTTCCATGTAGTCATGGCTCTGTGTAGTACTGTGCACCTCCCATAGTCTGTTCTGGACTTGGGGACTGTGAAGAGACCCCTTGTGGCATGTCTTGTGGGGTATGCATGGGTATCTGAGCTGTGTGCTAGTCGTTTGAACATACAGCTTGTGCATTCAACACGTCAATACCTCTCACAAAGACAAGTAGTGATGCAGTCAATCTCTCCTCTACTTTGAGCCAGGAGAGATTGACATACATGTCAATCTCTCCTCTACTTTGAGCCAGGAGAGATTGACATACATGTCAATGATGTTAGCTCTCTGTGTACATTTAAGGGCCAGTCGTGCTCCTCTGTTCTGGGCCAACTGCAATTTGCCTATGTCTTTCTTTGTGGCATTGGGGTGACCGGGTGAGACAAAACTAGGGCCTGTACGACCTGTTTTGTTGATTGTGATGTCAAGAAAGCAGAGCAGCGCTTTATCACGGACAGACCTCTCCCCATCTAGCTACCGTTGCATCAATATGTTTTGACCATTTCAGTTTACAATCCAGGGTTACACCAAGCAGTTTAGTCTCCTCAACTTGCTCAATTTCCACATTATTAATTACAAGATTTGGTTGAGGTTTAGGGTTTAGTGAATGGTTTGTCCCAAATGCAATGCTTTTAGTAGGATTTGGGATGGAATGGGGGTTGTCAACTCACCCGAAAAGCAGCCCACTCCTCAATAGTGTTCTTCCACAGGTAGAAAGACGGCAGACCAGCTGGGCCGGGGGGGCCTGGATCCCCCTGTCGCCCTACACATCCCTCAGGCCCCAGCTGGCCCTGTGAGAAACATCATAGGTATTAGTTACCATATCTACACCTAGAATGAGTAAGCTGAAGTCATACAGTCAGTCATATTGGACTGTGAGGGATAGCACATTTACAGGAGGACTTGGAGTCAAAGAGAGGCTGAAAAGCTAGGGGTTTATTGCTGTAAACACATTACTTATTATGTAAACTTCAGTCGTAAAAAAAATAGCTGCTCATGCTCTGATCCTAACGCAGTTCCATAATTTACTAAGACAAAGTTAAGGTGCATTCGTATGTGAGGTCAAGCAGACTAACCCATAGGCCATTATGTCATACATTTATGCCACCTCAAGCCATTCCAAAACATCAGCTCCTCTTACCCTGTCACCTTTAAACCCACGTAAGCCACTGTAACCGGGAAAACCCTGGAGAAAGTAAAAGACAAAAGAAACAGAGAGAGAGAGAGAGAGAGAGAGAGAGAGAGAGAGAGAGAGAGAGAGAGAGAGAGCAAGAGAGAGAGAGAGAGAGAGAGAGAGAGAGAGAGAGAGAGAGAGAGAGAGAGAGAGAGAGAGAGAGAGAGAGAGAGAGAGAGAGCAAGAGAGAGAGAGCAAGAGAGAGAGAGAGAGAGAGAGAACAGAACATGAGATATTAATTCAAGTTAATTCATAGATGTAGTGGAGTTCAGAGGGACAGACTTCTTAACTTCTCATATAGCTCCTGTATCATACAATCACATGTGAAGTAACCAATGCCCTAGTAAGCTCAAGCACAACAACAAACAACAACACATTGATTAACAGATTAATCCTAAAATCCAAATGAGTGTTGACAAAGAGCCCATGAGGCATCATATGCATCTACAGCTTAGTAGCGTACTGTTATAAACATTAACTACTAAATGGGTTACAACATCTGCCCTGTCCACTATTAACAGACTGAGACAGGCAGTCAGAAGAGAGCAGCTGACCCCAGTAAAGCTTTCCTTTACCAGGGTTTCCACCTATGAAAGTCAAAAGACTTCCTCCCCACAGTTTAGATGCCCATTAAGCCAGTTAAAAGACAAGCTTTCAGAAGCCTAAAGAACACGGTGATATGGCCATGCGTCTAACCTTGGCACTGCTGCCCTGTGGAATCTATGGAAGCTGCAAAGCAAACTAACAAACTGGCTTCCTCTTAGTGGGGAGAAATTCCAATACAGTAACATCAACCATCACCAATCAACCACAAGGAATATGGTACAATGCATTCAACACAAAAGAAAACTGAGGTTGATGGTTCTAAATCAAATCAAATCAAATTGTATTGGTCACATACACATATTTAGCAGATGTTATTGCGGGTGTAGCGAAATGCTTGTGTTCCTAGCTCCAACAGTGCAGTAGTCTCTAACAATTCACAACAATACGCACAAATCTAAAAGTAAAAGAATGGAATTAAGAAATATATAAATATTAGGACGAGCAATGTCGGAGTGGCATTGACTACAATACAGTAGAATAGAATACAGTATATACATATGAAATGAGTAAATCAGTATTTAAACATTATTAAAGTGACTAGTGTTCCATGTCTATGTATATAGGCAAGCCGGTTCTGGTCTTTTTAGTAAACTATCATACACTGAGTGTACAAAATCATCCCTCTCTCTCTCCCTCCCTCTCTCTCTCTCCCTCTCTACCGCACCTGCTGTCTCGATCTCTGAATGCTCGGGTATGAAAAGCCAACTGACATTTACTCCTGAGATGCTGACCTGTTGCACCCTCTACAACCACTGTGATTATTATTTGACCCTGCTGGTCATCTATGAACGTTTGAACATCTTTAAGAACGATCTGGCCTTAATGGCCATGTACTCTTATAATCTCCACCCAGCACAGCCAGAAGAGGGCTGGCCACCCCTCAGAGCCTGGTTCCTCTCTAGGTTTCTTCCTAGGTTCCTGCCTTTCTAGGGAGTTTTTCCTAGCCACAGTGCTTCTACATCTGCATTGAATGCTGTTCGGGGTTTTAGAATGGGTTTCTGTATAAGCACTTCGTGACATCTGCTGATGTAAAAAGGGCTTTATAAATACATTTGATTGATTGATTAAGAACACTGCTGCACCCCTTTCTGTCCTCAGAACAGCCTCAATTGTTCAGGGCATGGACTCAAGGTGTCGAAAGCGTTCCACAGGGATGCTGGCCCTTGTTGACTCCAATGCATTCCACAGCTGTGTCAAGTTGGCTGGATGTCCTTTGGGTGGTGGACCATTCTTGATACACACGGGAAACTGTTGAGCATGAAAACCAGGCAGCGTTGTGGTTCTTGACACACTCAAACTGGTGCGCCTGGCACCTACTACCATACCCCGTTCAAAAAAAGACACAAACATTTTTGTCTTGCCCATTCACCCTCTGAATGGCACACATACACAATCCATGTTTCAATTGTCTCAAGACTTTAAAATCCTTATTTAAGCTGTCTCCTCCCCTTCTTCTACACTGATTGAAGCAGATTTAACAAGTGACATCAATTAGGGATAATAGCTTTCACCTGGATTCACCTGGTCAGTCTATTAATTTTTTTTTACATTTTAGTCATTTAGCAGACGCTCTTATCCAGAGCAACTTACAGTTAGTGAGTGCATTATTTTTTTTCATACTGGTCCCCCGTGGGAAACGAACCCACAACGCTGGCGTTGCAAACGCCATGCTCTACCAACTGAGCTACACGGGACTACGTGTCATGGAAAGAGCAGGTGTTCCTAATGTTTAGTACACTCAGTGTATATGTCACATCATGTCAGCATGAGTTGGTAAAGCTCCGTTATCACGGAAGATTTACATGCAACAAGGACACAGAAATTCCTCAAATACGTCCATGTCCTTTCTAGTGGTGTCAGCGGCTATAGCCAGACCAGCCTCACCTAACAGTCACAAACACACACACACCTTCCACAGGCCTGACATACAGTGCTATCGCCAGGACATCTAGACCATAAGACCATAGCCTTGCTTTACATGAGAGGGGGCTTAATTACTGCAGCCTTCTCCACTACAGAGCCTTTTACTCCTGGCCAGCAGGACATCTTCCTTCATGTTCTCTACAGCCGGGATAAATCACAGTAATGGTGCCGAGTGATCCCAGGCTTTTACAGCAGCCAGAGAGCCAGGCTGAGGCTCCAGGACCAGGGCCAAACTGTGGGCCAGATGTTGCTCCATCTGGGTCTCATCTGGGTCTGGTTCTGGCGGCCCTAAGGGCTTCACGCCCCCTCCACCAATCAAAGAGGCTCGTTGATATGATTGCCGCGACTAATGCAGTGATGAAGGCGTTGACACTTGTGGTGCCATTTGGAGCTGTGGAGTAGCTAATGTGAGGATAAGAACATGAAAGACATCAGGGTCGATCAAGGCTGTTGATTATATTCAGACTGATGCAGAACCTAATGGCCAAACACAGAATAGATTTTCTCATTCGTAATGCTCCACACATTCTTTTATGAACTTTGTTACTTGTATTGAAAAGCGCTATACAAATAAAGTTCTTCTTCTTATTATTATTATTATTATTATTATTATTATTATGTTAGGTTTGTTCTCTTGTTTACATAACAGCAAGACAACCATCTCTACTCTAGCATCAATGCTACTAATGAACTGTCCAAAGCAGTAAGCATCACCCTCCATAAACATGACCATTAAACGTTACACAACATGACACATGAGCACTGGCACAGCGAAAGATTTGAGGAAGATGAAGAAGACACTTACATCCTTTCCTGGGGCCCCCATTCTGCCTGGGGGCCCTCTCTGGAGCCTATACATCTGGCCATCAGAGCCCAGAACCAGGTCCCCTTCCCTGTGTACGATGGTCACTGTGCCTGGGCGTTCTGGTCCTCGTTCCACAGTATTAGCCCGGTCAGGGTTTGGGTCAGGCTGGGTGGGGATGTGTGTGGTTGGTCTCCGCTCCTCAGTCACAGCCTCCAAAGGTGGGGCAGGGGGCTCTGAGGTGGGGGCGAGTGCAGTCCGAGAAGGGGTCTGAGGCCCCTCCACCTCCTCTCTCAGCAGGTTAGAGTCTGGGTGCTCCGGGTCCAGGGGGGTCTCTATCTGAGTCTTAACGACGCGGGGAAACTCCACAGAGGGCTTCTTCGGGAAAGAGCCAGCGTCCAAATCAATAATGATGTCCTCCGAGGGTTTTGCGGGAAACAGGCCGACGCCCCTCCCTCCAGAGTCTTTTGTCTTCTTGTCCGTGGTGATGTTCTCCTCCAGGAGTTTGGAGGAGGGCTCTGGCTTGCCCTCGTGGCTGTCTTTGGGGCCCTGCCTGCTGGGTTTCCACTGAGGGTTGAGATATCCCCCCTGGAGGTTTGGATCAGCCAGGTCTGTGTCCTCGTCCACCACAAAGACGTCCCCTCGTCCCACCGAGCCTTTCTGGCGGGGACCCCATGTCCCATCCCCACGCCGACTCCCACTCTGCCCAAACACATCCTATGGAGACACAACACAAACACAATGAATGTATTGTGGTGCTGAATATCAGTAAATGAGATCATAGGTTAGATGACATATTTCTCAGAGTTTATTTCTTGTTGTTGTTGTGGTGAGCTGTGGAAAGAATTACTTGGAAAAAAAACTATTTAAGAATACAATACACATTATTGACCTATCTATCAATCTGTATTGGTCTTGTTTCTTACCAACAGGGAACTAAGCCAACTGTAAAACAATCCCAAAGCTAGAGTTGACAGCACACTGAACTGCAGTACTACCTGTAGACTAATGTAGTGCCCCATTGACTCCCCTATATGTCTACACCCTCCTCACTCAACCACCACAGTAAAAAAACATCACCTCTTTAGAACTGTAGAGCATGGCGTTTGCAACGCCAGGGTTGTGGGTTCGATTCCCACGGTGGGCCAGTATGAAAAATAAAAAAATAACTGTAAGTCGCTCTGGATAAGAGTGTCTGCTAAATAAATAAAAAATAAAAATAAATAAAATAAAAACTGTGTACCATCTAACTACCTGTAACTGCCCTCAGAGGTAAAAGTTAAAACTCCTCCAATAAAACACGTCCACAACAACCTGAAGTTACATTCCCCTCCCTCCCAGGGCACATCGCTAGCCCAGGAGAGGGTGTTGGGCCTAGGGGAAAGTGGAGCAGAGAGGGGCCTGCTTGGGTTGTAAATTATGTTGTACATTCTGTTTGATGACCCTGACGGGCCGCCACAGCGGGGAGCAGTAAAGTTAAGCTGGCCTGGGAGGCATGTGGGGAGCAGCAGCCTGCGTGTGCGTGTGCGTGTGCGTGTGTGTGTGTGTGTGTGTGTGTGTGTGTGTGTGTGTGTATGTATGTATGTGTGTGTGCGTGTGTGGACTGGGGGAGGTGGGGAGAGGGTGAGGCAGATAGGGTATTAGGTGTGAAGGTACTGTAGGGTTGTTGTTAAGAGTTGTTTTGTGTCTTGGAGGATTTCTCTGAACCTGGTTGGTCCCATACTTTCAGTGTACAGTAACCTACATTCTACTCATACTACACAATCCAAGGGAGGCTGTGGGGGGCCAGCAAGTGAGGGGCTGAGGTGGGCTGGTACGGGGTGCTCCCCTGCTGGAAACAAAGGTCCTTTCTCCCTCTGCCCGGCCCGCGTGGACTTCTCTCCGATAAGCCGACACTGGATCTGCCCCTGGCAGCTGCCGCCTGCCGGCCCTCCAGCTTATCTACTGTACAGTCTGCCTGATATCCCTCTGACCTACGCCCTGGTAGACTGCGCTTACTTGGGGTACCATTACAGTACACACACACGCACACACACACACACACACACACACACACACACACACACACACACACACACACACACACACACACACACACACACACACACACACACACACACACACAGCCAAGTCAGACAGGAGCCAGGGGCACTGAGCTGCTGTAGTAATACTCTGTACCCCACTAGGGGGCAGACAGCACAATGATGCTTTCCATTATGATCCAGCAAGGTCTTGGCAATCTCTAAGTGATGTTTTTCAGTACCTCCTTATGATGGATCTATTAAACCCCATTCCAAAAACCTTCATAGGTAATTCAATACATCTCCTTTACATGTTCAGTGCCAAGACAAGATGCCCTATGTGCTCCCTTCACCCAGGGGCCTCTGCAGCAACAGGCTCAAGCAGGTACTGTATGTGTCATCAACAGTAGCGCTTTCAACCAGCGTGCTGAGAAACAATGAGGAAATGTGAACTCAGCACAAACAGAGGAATAGGTGTAGGGTGGAGAGGGCCAGATGTACAGGTGAGTGACAGTTATATAGCATGTTTGTATGGCTGTAGGCTCAGAGCATGGCACTAACAGCCATAACACAAACAGTTTACATAGGACCCATCACTTTGAGAGGATGTTGACAACATAGAATGAATGCGTCTGAGGTCTGGGCTGCATGTCACAATACAACAAATGACTCTTCCTGTTAGTTTGATATGCTTTTTGTTGACCCAGCTGTGCCCACTTGGCACTTCTCCATCACCGGCAGCGAGTGGCACCTTAATTGGGGAGGACGGGCTCATAGTAATGGCTGGAACGGAATATTTGGAACGGTATCGAACAAATCAAACATGTTTTCCATGTGGTTGATGCCATTCCATTCGCTCCATTCCAGCCATTATTATGAGCTGTCCTCCCCTCAGCAGCCTCCTGTGTTCTCCATCATTTGATTTCTTCTACTATCAGTGGATTTCAGGGAGAAAATGGGAAATTCCTAGGAATCATCATAGATGTCAGATCTTTAGAGTGGCACACCTGGGATAGAGACGAATGGTTATTTCTAATTGGGGTGATATCCCTCCGTCAGCTCCAGTCTCAGTCTGTTCTGGTAGCCTCCATGTCTCTGGGGCTGACAGCACTCCACTCTACAGGCCATCCTGAGAGATCTATGGAGGCCAAACCCACTCACACAACTGCTCCAGGCGTAGGTGCTATCCACACACACACACACACGCATGCCCACACAAAGGCCCAAACAAGAAGTTAGGTCGGTAAATCTATCCCAGACACAGGTATGTATGTAGGCAATCTCAAACTGGCTGGGTCTTGCAGCAGGAGGTAGAAAATGTGGCTTGAAAGAAAAACACCACAATGCTTTGGACTTCTCTGATAAGTAAATATTGAAAAACATTTAATTGACACAAATTGGAAACCAGAAAACAATAGCAAGGAAAATGTAATGGAAATAGCAATAAGAATATGGTTGTTGAAAACAATGCTATATTATGTATGAATATAGAGCAGAAAGAAAAAGTACATTACAAAAAGAACAAAGAAACGCTGTCAGCTTTGAGGCTAGAGGACACTGGACAGACTTACTGTACAGACATGATCAAAGAGGATGAACAACATGGATTGAAATATTGAGTGGAAGAGTAACAGTATACTGTAGGCCAACATTTCCACTTCCCAGTAGGAGAGATCTTTCAGAGTACAGGCCAGCTCTTACTCCCAACTCCAACCAATTGAAACAGCCTCAAGTACAACTTCAGAATCAGAGGATTGCTGTAATCGTACTTTTTCAATATGATGTTTTCCTCCTTTTAACATTGCACTGTGTACAAAATGACTGGGATTTTCACATTGTATCACAATTCAATTTCACTCAACATAGGCCTACTTGCCATTTTCATTGGATAGTGCATAGTGCAATGAAACAGAACCTGCCAAGGTTTAACAAATCTCCCCAGTACTTAGTGTTGTAATGTTGAACCTTAACTCAACCAAAGGGGTAATTTAGGTTAATACAGCTCACTGATGACTGTTCTTCTGATCTAAACAACAAAAATCGCTCTGAACCTCTTAGATTTAAAACCTCAAAACCACAAGCAACATTCAGAGTGTGTTAATAACACACAAACATTAAACACACTCTTAAAGACACCTATCATCAAGCTGTCCCGTTGCACAGTCATTTACATGAAACTGAACTCAACTAAAGCATTATCAAGCCCTCTGTAACAGTTATGTTAATGCATTCAGTATGTGGGCATTTCTCTCACATACCAAAGTGACTGAACATATCCTATCTAGGACATAAACATCTATGGTCGTCTTGCCATATTGAGGACCTACTAAAGTGCGCTTAAGGACCCCATGAATAAATCTACATCAATAGCGCATTATCACTCTACACCAACCCAATAGAAACATTTTGATGTTTTTACTTTACTTTACTGACTTTATTGTCCCCATGGGGAAATGTTGTTGCAGTATCATGTACACGTTTAAAGTGGCATTTAAATACTGTAGACAACAAAATTCATAACAGTTACATCCCAATAAAAGAGACTAGCCTGCTGGCCTTACTAGGTCGATAGGAACATTAGCCCGAGCTATTTAGGAGGGATAGTACACCTGGCACAAATGATTGTCTAGTTCTGTTTTTCCTGCCGGCTGGTGCCCTATACCTGTACCCAGAGGGGAGTTGTTCAAAGTCCAGGTGAGGCCCTACCTCTTTCCTCTTTGACTTTGGTATCCTTTGTCCCTCCACACAAGCTCCAAGTAAATCTAGTAGCAGGCATCCAAGAACCAAGTACCATCCAACATGGTAGTGCATGACTGCATGAGACATGGGGATCTCTGCTCCCAGTGGATTCACAATACCCCCAGCAACACACACTCACGGTGAGGAGAGGCTGGTCCAACTCAAAGCAGTCACACCCACAGTCCCACACACCTACCGGATACACACCCACACACTGGCACACATTTTAGACAGGGCAATGTATAGCTCTAATCCTGGGTTGTTCCACGAAATTAGTGCCTTTTACAAATATTTTAAGTAGAAATTGTGCACCAATATTGAATTTAAAAATCTGTTATATTAAATGAAGTGCCCTTTAATATAGACCACATGGATAATTCAATAAATCAGATTTTTTTATATTAATTTGCTGAAGTACCAAAATTCAGCATTTTAACATGTGCGTCCGTGCACCCTCTGTGACTTCAAGGAAGATTTTAACCCACTTAACCACAAACATTAGGTTTTCACCATCATTGTAAAGCACTTGTTATTTTGTTGCTTTGGCAAAGTCATTTCTGAAGATTATTATTTATTTCATGTGATTATTGATTTGTTTTAAGGAAGAAGAAAAAAACCTGGCCCTTATTTTAAGGGCAACCTTGTTATGTGAACTGAACTCTCATTTTAATATGTCCCTTAAAGAAACATCTAATATTCAAATCACAGTATAAAAGCAGGTGAGCTGGTTCTACTATTTCTGGCCATTTTCTGTTGTTTTTTTTGTGGTGGAAAACTGAGTGGGTCGAGCATAACACATCAACCATGTTACCCATAGATAGACAGGCTAGAAATGTTTTAACAATTACATTTTTTTTTGTGAAGCTTGCATTCAATTGCCCCTCCCTGTTGCACACAAGTTGGTAGTATGGCAAATGTAAGATGAAATCGTCAACCCTGTTACTTTATTTGGCACTTAATAGGCACTTACTATAGTCATTTTTCACTTAACCTCTTGAGATATATTAAGTTGAACATGTATGTGCTCTTTTTGACAGAATGTTCAAATTAGGTGAAATCATTATTTTTTATATTTTTTATAAGAAGTTACACATCTCAAAAGACACCGAATTGGTGAAACAACCTTCCTACACTCAGAATATCAGTCACCCACACACTCATATTATAGCACACCTTAGCCCTGCTCTACTTGCTTTACAGATTCTGATTCTGCCCAACTTCTCTATGTAAACACATGTCTCCAACTGTGTGTGTGTGTGTGTGTGTGTGTGTGTGTGTGTGTGTGTGTGTGTGTGTGTGTGTGTGTGTGTGTGTGTGTGTGTGTGTGTGTGTGTGCGTGCATTTAAGCATGTGTATTTGTGTCTCTGTGTGCGAGTGTTAATGTTTGCTCGATGAGGGACACAAAAACCAAAACCTCAACCATGTCCAACAATGTACACCTAAAATACATGGGATCTCATGCAATACATGTGTTCTAAACCCTGAATGAAGCCTGTGTCTACAACATGACTCACTCTAACCAAGGCCTAACCAAGTTAGATTGAGGGTGAAAGTAAACATCTGATTATGGACATCCATTGGCACAACAATTGAAACGGCGGTTTCATGGACAACCAAGTGTCTCCACTTGAGTGAATCCCCTAACAGACTCCAAGCCAGAGCTGAGGGGAAGACAAGGAGGCTCAGGATCAGATGTAAGGGAATCCCCACTGTTTTCAGACATGCATGGTTCTGTCTGGTCGACCCTAAGAACGTGGATGGGGGTTCGAGGAGGAGGGAAGCCACAGAACCCACATGGATTACATGCTCTGGAGCAAGAAAACTCTCCCTAAACCACAGTTGAAAGCAGAAGATGGTAACATTTAGTGGAGAATCTCAGAGGTTCAATTGATTTATATGAGGGGGAGGAAGACGAGACCTACAGCGCACTGAATCATAGGCCATAACATAGCGGGGACATTCCCTAACACAGGAAGAATTACTTCATGTATATGGGAACAAAGAAGAACCACACTAATGCAACAATAAGCCATTTTACAGCATGAGAGGGGGGTTGAGTTGGGGCGACAGTCCCGCTTGGGGATTCTCTGAGACTGTGGGTGTATGAGTAGGGGGTCAGTGGTTCCCTTCCATCACATCCCAGCCTTCCCAACTAGCTA